CGGCAACATTCTAACCGACTACCGAAGTTGTCTTAACGCTGAATCTCTTGAAACACTGGTTTGCAACCAAGATTGGCTCTTGGCAAGACGTCGGGCTCAAGAGTCATCGTACCAACTCGAATCGGAGCATTACATGAATGCAACCACAGATGGAAGTCCGAGTTCTGAAGAATAAGTTATAAATTTTTTTTATGTTAATGTAAATATGTAATTAAGTTTTTTAGGTGAGCGATATCTAAGCTCCTTCGAGGGTTTCTTTACGGTTCTTTACCTCGTCGCTTTTTTTGAACCGTCAGGATATTAAATGTGGTTGTTCTTCAGTTAGTGTATTACTCATTTTCAATATTTAAATAACAAATACATTTTTAGATTTTTTATTTCATTCTTTCCTTAAACAATTGCAAATTTACAATTTTATACTTTAAAAATTTAAAAAAAAAAGCAAAAAAAAATAGGGGGGGGCGAACCGGGCCGGTCCGGTACCGGAACTGCCGGTCCGGGAACCGGAACCGGTACCGGCCGGCACGGTAACATTTCCGGTTACTTGGGGTGGCAGTACCGGAACCGTACCGTGTCCACCCCTAGTTGTGCACCGTAACCTGTGTTCGAAACTTCCCACCCTTAACTGTTTGTCATATTTCTCTATCAATTCATGGGCCGAATTTAAATCAGAAGAAAAACCGTAACCTCCAGCAATGTGACGAACAATATCCGGTGGCGCGATGGGTCTTATTCTGATCCCCTACCCGAAGTTCAGGGTTCAAAACCCAAGGGCATTTTTCTCCTTTTCTTTTTATTTAATTCCTTCTTTTCTTCAAATTTCTTCCATTTCTTTTTGTCTCAAATTTGCATGTTTATTCTCCGTTCTTACAATTATTATCAATGCGTCCAAATGACCTTGAAATACCTGCAAAACATATAAAACCAAGTATAGGATCGCTCTACCAAAATAAAATGGAAAATTGACATAAAATGTAAACATTAATTCAATTGGGACTCAAAACTCCTTCAAAATATGCCTAAAAAGTGTATAAAATATGTGCATATCAACTCCCCTGCACTTAGACTTTTGCTTGTCCTCAAGCAAAATAAACTACAAATACAATCTTTACATGTGTGATGTGTTGTTAGAATTCACATACATAACTTTAAAAATCACACAATTATCTCTTTTGTCCACCGAACTATCCAAGACCCATGAATTGTCACAAAATAATAAAATGAGAGTAACTTGAGTAATATTGCCTATCCGAGAAACTTTCATGTTAATAATCTAACATAAACACCTATAGTGCTAAATTAGTCAAACTAATACAAACCAAGTTTCTCCAATCCAATTATTCTTAAAAATGACACAAAAAGATCAATTGGGACTTTTATTCGGCTTGTAACGGGGCTAAGGGTAATATGGGTAAACAAAGAAAGGGTATAAAGGACAAAAAAATAGATTATACTTATTTTGATCAAGAACTCAAAAATTACTACAAATGTAACTATGGAGCAAGATAAACAAATGACTCGAAAATGAAAAATGACCATTATTTTACGAAGTATACAGTAAATGGTACGGGCATTTTTTTTTATTTTTTTATGCCCAAGAAGAATAAATTTTAAAAATCTAAAGAGTTCAAGATTAGTGTGCTTCTTTTTTTTTCAACTTTTTTTATTTTTATATTTATTTTTTTGCTCTTTTTTTTCTTTTTTTTAAACTTTTTTTAAATTTTTTTATCCTTTTTTTTATTCTTTTTTTTGAAGGCACACTAAGTTATTATTATCGTTACAAAGACAAAGAATGTACAACTTTAATACAAAAGAAAGAATATGACATACTCAATTATTTACAAAAAATACACAGTGCTCCAATCATTAACTCTTTTTTTTTCAAGTTCCTTATCAAATAATAAGTCAATCTACTCTTGGGTGAAGGGATATTTTATTTTGGCAAAATGGTTTAGGGTTAAATATTTACAGGGTAACAAGAAAAAAAATGACAAACAAGAGATAAGTGGTAACACTTACTTACAGAAAAAGGCTCAAAAGGGAACAACTAGGATTTTTTTTTTTGAATTGGGTAGGCTTGGTTTGAGAGGTTAAACAAAGATGACCTATATCATGTCTAAATGTGTCAAATTAAAACATCATTTACCAGGGAACAATTTAAAGCGAGAGTTATAAAGAAGTACCTGGTCTCCTGGTGTGAAATCTCGTTTAGAGATTACCTTGTCATGCAGTTGTTTGGTTTGCTCCTTGTAGATTTTGGAATTTTCATAAGCTACAAGTCTGAACTCCTCGAGCTCATTCAACTGCAACATTCTCTTTTCACCCGCCAATGAGAGATCCATGTTGAGATTTTTAACCGCCCAAAATGCTTTGTGTTCTTGCTCAACAGGTAGATGACATGCCTTCCCATACACAAGATGATATATGGAGGTGCGAATTGGATTTTTGAATGTCGTGCGGTATGCCCATAATGAATCGTCAAGCTTGTCAGACCAAGGATGCTTTTAATTTCTCTGTTTGAAAGCTCGACTTGACCATTTGTTTGCGAGTGGTACGGGGCCGAGAGTCGGTGATGAACCCCGTACTTTGCAAGAACTCGTCCCAATGCTCTATTGCAAAAATGGGTGCCATTGTCGGTGACGATTGCTCTTGGGACTCCAAATCGAGAGAAAATGTTCCCTCGAATAAATTTGATCACCGCTTTTGAATCATTTGTGGACGTGGCAATTGCTTCAACCCATTTTGATACATAATCCACACCCACGAGGATGAATTCCTTTCCATTTGACTTCGGAAATGGACCCATAAATCAAGGCCCCATACATCAAATACTTCAACTTCAAGAATGCCCCTTTGAGGCATTTCATTTCTCCTCCCGATGTTTCCAGTGCGTTGACAACGGTCGGAGCTTTTAATAAAGGTGTTGGCATCCTTGAAAAGAGTAGGCCAAAAGGAACCAGATTGTAACACCTTTGCTACTGTGCGGGAGCTACCATGGTGTCCTCCGTAGGCGGAAGAATGGTAATGATGTAAGAGACATTTGTAACTTCATCCTCGGGCAAACATCTTCGTATGACTCCATCAACACAAATTTTGTAGAGGAATGGTTCCTCCCAGATGTAAGTTCGAGAGTCATATTGCAACTTCTTCTTTTCTGCATGAGTTTCTCCGGTTGGAATTATTCCATTTGAAAGATAATTCGCTATGTTAGCAAACCATGGATCAATACTTTTAGCCAGCATAAGTTGTTCTCCGATGAAGTAATCATTGATCGGCATAGTTCTTGCTTCGGGAATTTCCATCCTTGATAAGTGGTCCGCAACCACATTTTCCGACCCCTTCCGGTCTTTGATCTCCATATCAAGTTCTTGTAGTAAAAGAATCCATCTTAGGAGCCTTGGTTTGGAGTCTTTCTTTGCCATGAGGTATTTGATAGCAGCATGATTAGTTTACACAATAATTTTTCTTCCGATGATATATGATCGGAACTTCTCAATGGCAAAGACTACCGCAAGAAACTCTTTTTCAGTTGTTGCATAATTGAGTTGTGCATCATCAAGAGTATGACTCGCGTAGTATATGGCATAGGCTTCTCTCCCCTTGCGTTGGCGTAACACAGCTCCGACTGCATAATCACTGGCATCACACATGATTTCGAATGGTAAGTTCCAGTCGGGTGGCCTTATAATTGGAGCAGTTGTTAAGGCCATCTTCACCTTAAAAAAAGCTTCTTGACAATCAGCATTAAAATTAAAATCTACATCCTTGGAAAGTAGATTTGTCAAGGGTTTTGAGATTTCAGAGAAATCTTTGATGAAACGGCGGTAGAATCCAGCATGATCGAGAAAACTCCGAATTCCTTTTACAGAATTTGGTGGTGACAACTTTTCGATGACTTCAATCTTCGCTACATCAACTTCAATACCACTTTCAGAGATTTTGTGGCCAAGTACAATTCTTTCTGTTGCCATGAAATGGCATTTCTCCCAATTTAGTATTATAAGATTGGCTTCTTAGCATCTGCTCAGCACTTTGTCTAAATTCATTAGACAATCTTCAAATGAATTCCCATAGACAGAGAAATCATCCATGAATACCTCCATGATCTCCTCGATGTATTCTGAGAAAATAGCAATCATACACCTTTGAAAAGTCGTAGGTGCATTACATAATCCAAATGGCATTCTCCAGTATGCAAATGTGCCATAAGGACATGTAAATGTCGTCATTTCTTGATCATGAGGATGAATCGAGACTTGAAAGAATCCCGAGAAGCCATCTAGAAAACAGAAATAGGAATGTTTGACCATTCTTTCCAGCGGCTGATCAATGAACGGGAGAGGAAAATGATCCTTCCGAGTGGCTTTGTTTAACTTTCGGTAATCAGTGCACATGCGCCAGCCAGTAACCATTCGGGTAGGAATAAGTTCATTGTTGTCGTTTTTACCAACGGTATTTCCTCCCTTTTTCGGAACCACATGAATAAGACTAACCCATTTGCTGGCTGAAATGGGATAGATGATTCCTGCTCTCAACCACTTTAGCACTTCTTCCTTGACAACGTCTTTCATGTTTGGATTAAGACGTCGTTGGTACTCAATGCTTGGTTTATGTTCCTCTTCAAGATAGATGCGGTGCATGCAATATGAAGAACTGATTCTGACAATATCGCCAATGGTGTAACCAATTATCCTTCGGTGTTCCCTAAGGACTTTAAGCAGCTTCTCCTCTTGTTCGGCATTTAGGGAAGAGTTGATGATCACCAGAAAAGTAGAATCAGGCCCAAGAAAAGCATACCGTAAAGTGGAGGGAAGAGGCTTGAGCTCTACTTTAGGTATTTCATCATTTTTGGGCATTGGCTCCTCTTCAAGATTAAGGACTTCAAATTTTTCCGGTCCCTCCATTGGTTCGGAGAGATGATCTAAAATCTCCAAGCATGAGTTCACCATCTCATTTGATTGTTTCTCTTCAACAGATTGGCATATGGTGTAGTCCATTAGATCTCTTGAGAGTAAATGAGATTCCTCAATAATTCCAAGAATACATGAATCAATGATATCCACGTTGAGACAATCAAGAATGCATGCAGCATTCTTACTCAGCTCTGGCACATTGAACTCGATCTTGTCATCCCTGATTTCAAGGATGAGTGTACCCTTCTTCACATTTATGATTGCTCCAGCGGTGGCTAGAAATGGTCTCCCGAGAATGATAGGAACTCGGGCATCTTCTTCCATATCCAAGACAACAAAGTCTCCTGGAATATAGTATTTATCGATCTTCACAGGAACATCTTCAAGAATGCCGATTGGATACTTCACAGAGCGATCAGCCAATTGTAGCGCCATGGTTGTCGGTTTTGGATCACCCAAGTGTAGCTTTTGACACAGAGAGTATGGAATCAAGCTAACACTTGCACCAAGATCACAAAGAGCTTTGTTTACTTTAGATCCTCCGATGTAGCATGGAATTGAAAAACTTCCAGGATCACGTAGTTTTGGTGTGATCTTATTTTAGATAATGGCACTGCACTCTTGACTCATGGCCACCGTGAGAGGATTTTCCTTCTTCTTTGTTAAGATCTCCTTAAGAAATTTGGCATATGAAGGAATTTCGGTATGGCATCAAGTAAAGGAATAGAGATAACCAATTGCTTGATACAGTTCAAGAACTTTGTTCTTCATTCCACAATATGTGATTTCTTGAGTCGGTTTGGAAAAGGAATTGGTGGAGCATATTTCCTTACCAAAACTTCTTCTTCTTTTTTCTTTCCTTCTTTGATCTGGATTGACTCCGGCAACATTTCAGCAGCATCTCCTTTGACTTTGTTCTGAGCTTCTTCTTTGACATCCTCTCTTATTTCTTCTTTAGGATCACTACTTGGAAGAGATGGAGATTGAATTTGTTTCCCACTCCGAGTAGTGATAGCATTCATTTGCTCTCTTGGATTCTAGGGACAAGTTGGCAATTTTCCAGTCACATTTGTTGATGATGTTGATGCTTGACTAGAGATTTGATTTTCAAGCATCCTATTGTGAGCTCGAAGTTGAGTAAGCTCTTCAGAAATCTTCTTCAAGGTTTCGGCTTGGGCTAGTTGAGATTTGAGTAGCTGATCAAAAATGTTATCCAAGCCGGGAGCTGATGTTGTTTCAGGAGTTGGCAGGATCGACTTTTGTTGATTGGAAACATAGGGGAAGCTTTGGTTTTGCTTAAACTGATGATTGTTAGCAAAACCTTGGCCACCTCTAAATTGTTGTTGCTGTTGATTTTGAAAGCCGGGTGGTGGACTCCGATAAGCTTGTGGATTGGCAGCTCCATTTGGATTGCTTTAAGAGAAACCCGGATGATTTCTGTTTTGAGAATTAAATCCACCAAATGGGTTTTGTTGTTGCTGCAGCCGGTTATAGTTGACATAATCAACTTGCTCCATTGCATCCCATAAACACGAAGATTGATCATGTTGTCCACCACATGATACACACATGAGAACAGGAACATGAGGCGGTGCTGGCGTAGTGTTTTGCACAGCAGAGACTTGAGCAATCTTTTGGATCATGCTCATCATGATGTCGACCTTAGCAGCCATGGCCGACATTTGATCAACTTCGTACATGCCTCCAATTTTCGGTTGAGCGGATGGATGGTCAGAGTACCAGATAGATCCGTTTGTTGAGATCCGCTCAATGAGTTCTTCAGCTTCGTCAAGTTCAAGGCTCATGAATGATCCGCTCGCCGAGGTATCCAACAATATCCGTGAGTTTTCAATTAGGCCTTCATAGAAAGCCGTCATTAGGTGCCAGCTTTGGATATTGTGATGTGGGCATTGCCTTTGAAGATCTTTGAATCTCTCCCAAGCCTCATAAAGGCGCTCGTTTGGATTTTGCTTGAAATTTTGTATCATCCACCTTATTTTTGCTGTTTTGGAAGGCGGAAAGAATCGCTTGAGAAATTCTCCGTGAAGCTGGTCCAAAGTTGTGAAGTGATTGTCTGGAAATGAATCCAGCCAGCTTTGAGCTCTGTCCCTTAGAGAGAACGGGAACAGACGGAGTCTGATTGCATCAGTTGGCACACCATGGATCTTGAACGTGTTGTATGCTCGGAGGAATTTGGTGATATGGTTGTGTGGGTCCTCCGTTGGTCCTCCACCAAACTCATTAGATGAGACCATGTGGATGACAGCAGGTTTGATTTCAAAGTTGTTTGCTATGACATCCGGTGGAATAATGATTTTATGTTCCGCCACAAGAGGAGTGACATAGTCAGAAAGAGTCCTCCTATTCGGAACTTCATTTTGTCTTCTCGGAATTTCCTGTACAGTTTCAAGAACATTGTTCCGTAGGACTTCCATTTTCTTTCTTTTTCTTATTTCTTTCAAATGTTTTTCAATTTCCAGAAAGAAAAGTTTTTCTTGATTAATCCCACGTGAACGCGTTATCATAAAAAGAAAGGGATTGGGAAGGTTGGAGTGAGAAGAGGGAGAAGGGAAAACGGGAATAGAAGGAAAGTAAAAGGGGGAAAAGGGGAAAAAAAGAAAAGAGAAGGGAAAGGGGGAAAGGAAAAGAAGAAAAAAATGTAATGTGCAAAAATTAATAAAAAAGCTCTCACTTAAGTCAAGAGGTAAAAACCACCGAGACAAGTGATACCTTAGTTAGTATTTAGCGGTTAGAGTGCCAAGTGGTAGTAAACCAACGAGGACACTAAAAAATAAAAAGAGTTAGTAATAATATATAGATATATAATACGTATAATATTATATATATCTATATATATAATATTTATAATATATATAATATATATAATATATACTCCCTCCGTCCCAAAAAGATTTACACGTTTCAAAAAAATTGCGCCCCACAATCCCTTACCCATTTGTTTTAAAAAACCACTTTTACCCCTTACTTTTTCAAACCCTACCTATCACATCATACTTTTTTCCTAATAATCTACACATCACATCATACTTTTACCCATCACATCAAGGGTATTTTTGGAAAGTCAACACAAAATTTTCCCTCCCTTAATTTCTACTTTAGTCAAAACGTACCCATCTTTATGGGACGGAGGGAGTAATATATAGTATATATAATATAAAGTATATAGATATAATGTCCAATAGCAGCTTTGCACGCCTAGAAAGAAAGAAAAAAATGCAGAAATGTAAAGTGCAGTAATTAAATGTACAAACCCTGTGACGGCTTTGCGGATCAGCGGGCAAAAGAAAGATAAAAAATGTCCTATCACCGTTGGCGGAAAATCCGACCTGTAAGATAGTTCAATATGTCCAAGTATGTCCAATATGTCCAAGTCAATATGTACAAGTCCAATAAGTGTTTAAGAGTAAAGGAACTCAAAGGAATTTTTTTTCACTTTTTTTTGTTTTGGTTAATTTTTTTTTGTTTTAGTTTTTTTTAGGTTTTTTTTAGTACGTGCAGGAAGAGGTTAGGGAAAATAAAATAATAACAAATATTTACAAAAAATAAACAATAAAACTTATGTTTAAAAAAACTCAAACCGTCTCCCCGGCAACGGTGCCAAGTTGAAAGTTAATTTGCAGTATAAAACAGGCAAAACTAACAACTAAAAAGAACCCTTGTAAGTAGGATGTCGAACCTCAGGAAGACGTGAGTTAATTTAATTTTAACAAAAGTTTACAAAAGAAGTTGTAAAATATTTATTGGTCTTTTTGGTTTTAGTGATAAAATAAAAAGTGTAAAAAGAGAGAGTTCCAAACAACACAAAATTTTTTATGATAAAAAGTTAGGGGTAGAAATTGGTAAATTAATTGTCCAATGTTTTTATAAAACTAGGATTGTCAATTTATTTTTATATAGAATGTGTGGGGTTGTAGAAAAGTATTTAGGAACGCTCTCGCAGTTCACCTAAATAATAACTACTCCGACTTTAACACGCTAATGATAAATCCGGAGTAATTATTTAGTAACAACGGCAACCATAATTATTTTATTTTATGTTTACCCAATTTAATGGTGTAAAAATACAACTCAATAATTATGTCCACCCGAAAGTCTTCAATCCCGGTTAAAGGTAGAGAAGGCTTACGGTGTATTTAAAAAGTGTTCTATTTTATGATTATATCAATTTTAGCTCATATTCCTTGTAACAATTATGTTTATGATTGGGCCCTTGATCAAAAATCACAAACATTCCAAATTTATTTATTTTTAAATACAACATCTAAATAAAATAAAATTAACAATCCATATTAAAATAGGGCAAGGTTCCCATGACATTGGGAACCAATGTCATGGGATGACCCGGGGGCGCTCCGGTGCCCCGTTCGTAAAATTGACGTTTCCTACCCCTCTAACCCCCCCGATAAACCCCCCCACCCCGCCCCGACCCGAACGCACCCCCCCAACCCCTTCAATTGCACCCCACAAGTTGATTTTGACTTTGGAGTCAAATTTTGACTCCAAAGTCAAAATCAACTTGTGGGGTGCAATTGAAGGGGGTGGGGGTGTTTACCGGGGGGTTAGGGGGGGTAGGAACCGTCAATTTTACGAACGGGGCACCGGAGCGCCCCCGGGTAATCCCTTGACATTGGTTCCCAATGTCATGGGAACCAAGGTGATTAAAATATTCAAAACATTAAGATGGACAATTAATTACACCAACTTCTAACCCCAATGTAATTTAAAAGTACATAGTTTGAAGCTTAAACAAATAAATATTTATGACAAACATAAAAATCTTACAAAATGGAAGATGTGTTCTTGAGCTCCAAATATGATAAATGATGATGAAGATGGAGTAATTGTTATGTGTTTGGATGAAGAAAGTGGTGAGATATTAGTGATGGAGGAGGAGAATTTCGGATTGGAGAGAGGAGAGAAATGGGGGGTTCCAACCTCTTAGGAGAAGTGAGGAGATGGAATTTTATAGATAAATTCGTATATACGGAGTATATACAAACAGTAGTATAATATGTCAAAACATCTCTTGTAGCGCACATGGAAATGCAGCTGGTTTTCGTGCTCCGTAACCCGTGTTCGAAGCTTCCCACCGTTCGCGATGGGTCGAACTTCGGATCTACTACCCGTAGTCTAGGGTTCAAAACCCAATGGCGTTTTTCTCCTTTCCTTTTTATTTAATTCCTTCTTTTCTTCAAGTCTCTTCCATTTCTTTTTGTCCCAAATTTGCATGTTTATTCTTCGTTCTTGCAATTATTATCAATGCGTCCAAATGACCTCAAAATACCTGCAAAAAATATAAAACCAAGCATAGGACCGCTCTACCAAAATAAAACGGAAAATTGACATAAAATGTAAACATTAATTCAATTGGGACTCAAAACTCCTTTAAAATATGCCTAAAAAGTTTATAAAATATGTGCATATCAATAAGCACATGGGAAACACATTCAAGTCAACTAATTGCAGTCAAGTTAACTTATGAAGCGTACCATCAAAAGCTTTGTTGTCTTGAGGGTCAGGGCATCCTATCATTGCATAAGTGCGCGCTTAATCTTGTCCTGGCTGTTGATTCTGATTTCTTTGTTGATTTGTTTCTGCAGTCATATGTTGACTTTGCTTTGGTTGCGGTGCGGTCGTTTGACTACGAGTGTTGCTTGCACATGGGTAGTGCTCAGGTTAGTGGGATAGTTCCTTTGGAAGCCTGCCCACAACCTAGACACAATCCCTGATCATACCAACACTTGCCTGGATTTGTCCTTCCGCAGGTAGCACATGGCGGAAAACTAGAAGTCTTTGACTTACCACTAGACGCCACAGACTGGGCTGGCGGTCAGACTGCTAAGTCCCGCACAATCACGCTATAAGAGACGCACGAGGCTTGATCTCTTACGCATGCATATGATATGATATGCTTCAATATGGATGATGAAATGAATCATATGATATGAACAATTTGTAAACAATATGAATATGTAATCATACATTAATTTATTTGGGTGAAACATGGTAAAAATATCGTTTAAATAAGCTACGGGGCTCGGAAGAGTCGACCGTTTGGCACGGCGGTCGACCTCGATCTTGATTTCGTCAGATTGGCGGATCACCGTGACGGTCGACCGCGGTTGACTGGCGGTCGACCATTGTTGACTGGATGAGAATGGTGGTCCTCGGCTGGGCAGGCGGCGGTCGACTGTTGGCCACTGGTGGTCGACCGTTTGAGTGACAAACGCGCTCCGTTTCGATGTCCAACGCGACGGTTGACCGTTTACGTCGACCGTTCGGGTCTGTGAATCTAATTTTTGATATTTTTGGATATCTAAAATACTTTTTTGAGTCATTTTAACATCTATGATAAACATATCTTTGTATTTGAAGTATTCCTAACACTTATATATATTCATGTATGGAAGAGTATTAAGAAAAACATATTTTTCAATGTTATAAGTTTGATAAGTTCGATCTTAAAACATAGATGACTTATAATATGACAATCAATCCTAATGATATATCTAGATTGATATTCAACCAAGGATTGCGTTACTAGAGTGCAATGTACTCGCCTTGATATCGTAGAGGTCAGAAAGATAGAAAGATAATAATACGCTTCAACGAACGTTCAACGTACGGTCACCCCTATCAACTTCGAGCTTCCTACGCCCAATCTTCTTGGAAATAACCTCCGGAAGTTCCTAATAACCACGAGAGAGTTGACGGTAAGTATTTGGAAGAAATGATGTGAAAAATGATGAAGAAAACATGGCCAACTCGAGGAGCTCGCCACCACTGGCGCAGTCCCGGTATTTTGGCCATATCTGCTTCGTTACATAACGAAATCACGAACCGTTTCTTGGGTTGGATTCGTAACGTCCGTAGCTACGATTTTGGTATAATAAATAATTCGAGAAAATGGATAGAAAATTACAGAATTTACGAAGAAGTTGCAGCTGCGTTTGAACTCAGGATTTTAGAAAACTTTAATATTTCTTCTTGCTCCTTCTTATTCCTTTAGCACAAAAATGGAGTTGAATGAAGCTTGTTTCCCCCCTTCCTGAATTGCCAACAGTGAGAGAGAGGATGAAGAGAGAGTTGAGAATGTGTGAGATGATTGGAATTGAATTGTTGACAAAGTGAGAAGAAGTTAAGGTTTAATACACACCACTTTTGGAGGTATTAGGTTAGTGGAGTTCCTAGGGTAGCCTAATTGAAGACTTTGAGGCTTGGGGCTGCGTGATTGAGAGGATTTGGAGATTTAAAATATTCTCCTACTCCGTAACTGAAAAACTGGTTAAAACGGTACGCACTTTTTCGCCCAAACTGTTCTGAATTGAAAACGGATCGCATATTTGGAATTAGACTGTCAAAACTAAAATTTTGATATAATTAAAATATTTTTCTGAAAACTTTTATTTTTCAGTGTTCGGGTCTGTCTTAGTCATTAATTAGTATTTAAATTAATTAATGCTTTTAGGCCTAAATTGGGGCCTTACACCAGCCATCACATATGCATCGTCCCCTAGATTATTAATCACATCATCAACTTTTGCTGATGTAAAATGTTTCTTAGCGTGAGGTACACTAGCAGGTTCTGCTTGAGTGGTTGTGTTCTTACTTCCCCAATCTGCTCTCCCCATAGCCTTTTGAAAACGGTGAGGCCACTGTTTCTTAGCTTCTTCAACCGGAACTGGATCTCCAACAAACTCACTTTCACCATCTTCAGAAGCCTTAGCATCCGTCCTTCTCTCGGGCAGTCAAATCACGTTTTCCCCAGACTCCTCTCGTATCTCCTCCTCGTCTTCAAGCTCATGATCATAAGCGACAGAGTCGTCAAGCTCGGAGCCCCCGTCAGCCAAATCCACAACCTCTCTCTGCCTTCTCTTCTTCTGCTCCTGTTTGGCCGGAGCAGCACGAGGCGACGCATTTCTTTTGCGGCCCATTGCGCGAATTAGGGGTCGGTCCGGGTAGGGTTCTGAGGAAAAGGACTTTCTTCGTTGTCTATTGCGTAAGATCTGGAAAATTTCTGGGTTTCAAGTGAAGGTCTTCAGATGGAAGAACGATTTCGATCCAACTGTGCATTCTCCACTCACCCCAGTTTGGATTGGCTTTGCTGGCCTCCCAATCCATCTTTTCGAACCAAATGCTTTGTTCTCCATTGGCAATTTAATTGGTACTCCTCTAAAAATGGACCACGCCACCTTGATGTTGTCTCGCCCCTCTGTGGCACGTTTGTGCATTGAATTAGACTTGACAAAGGAACTGCCAAGAGCGGTTTCGATTCACCTTGGCAGCCTATCCTTTCTCCAACTTGTCAGCTACGAAGACCTCCCTGACTTCTGCAAACGTTGTAAAACGTTTGGGCATACAACTTGCAAGAAGGCCGGAAAAGCCACTCGATGGATTAGAAGAGACTTGAGATTGAATCAGGAAGAGGATAAGGGAGGGGACTTGGTCGTCCAATCTTTTAAACCTTCACTTCCTGATTTAGTTGCCAACTCTTCTGTACCTTCTTCTTCAATGTTTAACACCATATCTGTCAATGTTCCTTTAAATGGCTCTAGTTCTACTTATGCAGACAGAATCACACAGAAAGATATGTCGTTGAGAGCACACGAGACTCTCAATGAGTCCTCGGATGGCACTCAACAATACAAGGATTGCCCTGACCATGTTACACCTGGAAATGATGACCTTAATTCTGATCCAAAATTTAGCTCCATGGCTGCTGATTCTGCCAATCATAATGAAAACAAAGATGATTTTGACTTCCATGGTTCCCACAAGACTACCAGGGAACCTAATACCCCCACTAGCCTTGCCCCTCTTGGAAATGATGAGCAGAAATCTGATCCTGTCACTACTTATCCTAACAAATACACTGATGTTGTCCCTGTATCCACTGCCCCTGGTACTCCTGTTCAGTTGAGTACTAATAATCTTGATGTCCAGGTCTCTACTATCCACGTCACTAATGGAAATGAAGTGCCAATCTCAGGTTCCAATGAAATCTTAAATGATACCAAACCCAAGGCTAGCCTAGAGCCGAAGGTTTCTTCTTTTTCTGTTTTCAGGGGAGTTGAAGAGGAACGAGCCAAAGCTAGAGCTAATGACGGAATGCCGATCTTCGCCAAACTCCCCTTCAAAGAACAAATCATGCAACTCAAGCTCGCACACCAAAAATTGAAAGCTAAGGAGCAAAACCTCACGCAGACTAGCACTGTATCAAAGTGTATACCTACTGGATGCTCCTCGGCCCCAACAACTAACCAGTTCGACCCACTTGAGGATATCCCAGATGATGATCCACTACTTGAGGAGCATCTTGAAGATGACTTCACCATTGTACGCTCTAAAAAAGCTAACAAGAAAGAAGCCCCTGATATGACGATTCAAACAAGAAGTGGAAGGGCGCCCCATGGACCGCGTGGACAGAACCCTCGAGGGAGATGTCGCGGAAGGCATAGCCGTGGTGCCATTTAAGTTTTATCTTTGCTTTATGTACTGGGCCTTGCGCCCACATTCACAACTTTCTCTTCTTGCATTTTCTTCTCTTTGTACTCCACTTTCTCATTTAATAAAAATCTCTTTAAGTTACACACACACACACACACACACACACACACACACACACACACACTTTTGACTTTTGGAACTGTTCATCTAAGCACTTTGACTCATCAAATTTCCTCAATGTGTAAGTCTAAATATAGTCATGTGTGATCTTGTTTGATTTGTCTTAACATATAGATTATTAATATATAATTTCTATAGTTTTTTAATATACAAATTGCAAGATAAAATGGATTAAAGAAGTGCATTGGATGGTGTGTAAAAACGAAAGTGGACAAATACTCTGGGACGGAGGTAGTGTGTGTGTGTGTATTAAAAAAAATTTATTAATATTATTGGAACGGTCGGTTACAAGCAGGGGGCCTGAGGTTCGTTAACCTCGTGACCGCCCTGGGGCCCGTTAAACACCCGAGGCAGATAGCCCACTATAAGAAGCCCAATGAAATCCCAATCTAAAGCCCAACCCCATAAATTTGCAAACACTTCCCAAGGGGTTACCCATCATTTCTGCTACTTCATGGCCAGCACGCTTAACTCCCTAAAAATTCCCCCAAAGTTGCCCTTTTTGAGGATCAAACCCGGGTGGTGTGGTTCGCCAATCAACCATGTGCCCATCTCTACAGGGGGGATCCACTATATATATATATATATATATATATATATATATATATATATATATATA